ATTTGAAGACAACAATGCTTTGACCTCAGCAAAACTCTGTTTGTGGACTTTAGTCCACTTCCATGGAGCCTGTTTATCCAAGAGCCGGTGTAATGGTTCTGCCACTGTGGCCTTGTGGGGGAGGAAGGAATGGTAAAAATTTAGCAGTCCAAGGAAGGCTTGAAGCTTGCTCTTCGACTTGGGACAAGGGGCCTGCTGAATTGCTTTGAGCTTAGATTCAGCAGAATGGATGCCTTTGGCATCTATGTGAAACCCCAAGAATTCAGTGGAAGTTACTCCAATTTTGCCCTTTTCCTGCTTTAGCTTCAGCCTCGCTTCGCGGAAACGCAGCAAAACAGACCAAAGCCTTTCAGATAGGTTTTTCATTGACTCCCCTACAATGAGGACATCATCAAAATATGGGCAAACTCCCGGAATGTTACGGAGTGTTCACTCCATCATACTTTGGAAAATGCCAGGAGCTACATTAACCCCGAACTGCAGTCTTCTGACTGAAAGCTCCCCGGTGCATTACGATTGTCTGGGCCTCTGCCGTTGCATCATCAACCAATAGCTGTTGATAGGCCTGGGCCAAATCGAGTTTAGTGAAAAATCAGCCTCCTTTAAGTGAGGCCAAAATGTGGCTCACCACAGACACTGGATAAGAGTGCTGCTGTAATGCTTTGTTTAGCATGCATTTATAGTCAGCACAAATGCGGATTTCCCCATCAGCCTTGAGTGGTGTGACTGTGGGTGTTTCCCATGGACTGCTATCCACAGGTTCCAAAATGCCTTGCTGTAGCAGCTTATCCAGCTCAGCATTAATCTTTTGCTTAAGCACAAAAGGCACCCAATGAGGCTTAATCCTAATCGTGCAATGGAGGGGTCTAACCAAAGCAATTGGAAGCCCCTTGAACGATCCTAATTCTGGGCTGAATATGTCAGCAAACGCCTTGCAAACTTCCGCAAGATCTGCGATTTGCAAACTGTGTAGCCCAGTCACCTGAACTCCAAGTGCCTTGAACCAATCGAGTCCTATTAGACTCGCGCAGTCACCCTCAATCACAACATCCAAAAACCCTTCAAAATTCCTATGCTGCACTCTGAGCGTGGCCTCCCCTTTCACACTGACCCGGGAATTCTGGAAGTCTGTTAGGATAAGATTCAAAGGCCTGAGTTTAACTCTCTGGCTGCTTTTACAGCAGATCTGCTTGAGGGTGTCCAGCTCCATCCCCTGCAATTTGACATCAATACGCAGCTTCTTCTTCAATGGCTGGTGGGCTCCTGTTCTCAACTCGCTTCTTCGGAACGCGCAGAAACCCACTCTATTCTGGCTGGGGACCCTGATACCTTTCCAAGGCAATTCTTCCGATGGACGGTCTTTCTTGCGACCCAAACAGACGGCAGCTATGTGGCCTTACCAGCCACACACCCGGCAAGTAGCAGAGCGAAAATTGCAGTCAGAGCACTTGTGGTGGCCTCCATATCCGAAACATCAAGGGAATGGAACTGCCTTGTCAGACCCCTTGTCAGCTCACTCTTGGGGCCTTCTTTCTGCTGGCTGCTGCAGTCGATTGATCTCATTTTGGGAATCCAGTTCGGATACCTCTCTAGCAACCTCTTGATGGACTGAGCCTGAACACATAGTGTTCTTGGAAAGCCACAAGGCCTTAACAGCTCCTCCCGCTGCTTCGTCGGCCATGATCTCCCTTAGCACATCTTGGAAGGAAATGTCCTCTTTTGTGAAAATCTTTTGCTGCAGTTCTCGGCTCCTCAAACCACAAACTACCCAATCTTGTAGCTGTTCTTCCAAGTCTTTGAACTCATAGGGCCTTGCAGCTTGATGCAGAGCAGCAATAAAGTCCACAGCAAACTCTCCGGGAAGTTGGTCCTGCTGTTCAAATGCATGATGCCATGCAATCACTAATAGGTTTGGTTCGAAATGTTCCTTTAACATTTTCTTCAGCTCTGCATAAGTGATGGATTCCAAAGGTGCTGGGGCAACCAAATTTTCAGCAATGTCAAAAGTCTCTTACCCATAGATACAAAGTAACATTGAGGCTTTGAGCCCATCCTCCCGAACTTGGTTTACCCTAAAGTAGTTCTCCACTCTGGCAACGTAGGAGCTCAAATGTTCAGGGTGCGTTGTATCAAATTCAGACAGATGCCCAATCTTAGCCATCGTTTCTTCTTGGCAGCCTCTTCCAATGCCTTGCGCTGCTCAGGCTTGCGAAGGGGTTCCAGAACAAATCTTGACGAGCTCTCCTCCAGCGTCTTCATACTGGCAGGCAGAGTCGCACAAGTTGGAATGCCAAACTTTCAAGCACTTCATCCTCCCATGGTGAGTCAGCCTAGTATTCTTTTGTTGTTTTCTTGCAGTACGATCCCACCTTCGTCGCCAATGTTCTGTTTTGTGCATTTGTAAGGCATTGAAACAAGGCAGGAGTAACAACAGTTGTTTCTTTATTCAAGTTTCAACAGAACAACACAAAATGGCGCTGATCCCTTTTATACCCTTTTGCAGGGAACAGCGTCAGCCAATAAATGCAATGTACTTTCCCGCTTTGCGCATGTGCAATAGGCTGGAGACAGCCTGTCAGGCCCAGGCAGGCCATGTGGTCTGCCCAGGTCTCTCTGCAGCTTCCTGCACCTGCTCTGTCAATCACAGGCCCAGGATATAACACTTTTCACAAAAAATTCTTAGGAATCACACATACTTTCTAATAATATTGAAACTTCTGGGAAGAACCTTTGCATCCCATCAAAAGCCAAATAGATCAGAGATCCCCAATTCCCAGTCACAGCCCACTACCAGGCCTCGAGCCTTTCAGAACTAGGCTACAGCAGTTTGCATGAGCAGTGAAAGCATGTGCCTGATGTTGCGCAAATGGAGCTGCGGGTGAGCTTGCCCACCATGCACATGGAACCATCCCCTCTCCCCCCCACCAGTCCACAAAGCCGAAAAGGTTGGGGAACTCTGAAATAGATCATGAGAACCTAAAGTATGCTTAGACATCTCAAAAATTTATTCAATGTCAAATCAGGTAGGCATATGCTTTTAGTTTTTTAGACCAAGCTCTAATATTTTGTTCCTTTGACTATTCTCCTGATTTATATTAATAGATATAATAGCAACCTTGAAATATCAGTGAAACATTTAAAATATTTAACTGCCAGAAGCAGAACAAAAACAAGCAAAAGCAGGGAGATAGAGAGATGAACATGCCCCCTTACATACGGTAGCCTTTTAATGTTTGAAATGTTTTGTTGATGTGTAATCAATTAACATCAAACTATATTTTTGTGAACTGAACTGAGTAGTATATATCTTTGCTTTGATTTAATATAGGAATTAACTTTAAGTGTGGTGGATATAAACTAAGCTGGAAATTACGCACAGTAATTTTTCAACAGTTTTAAATGCAATATTTTATATACAAGCACCTCAAAACAGCAAGAATTGGTGGGAAAACTAGTACAGGCCCTAAAACTAAACTATAATTCTACTGACTGGTCCGATTCTACCACTGCTGTTGTTTCCCACCACTTCATTTTCCTTCTCCCCATTTTTTTTCCTCATTCAGCCTAATGCTGATGCTGCTCTGTAGCATTTCAGGCCTTCTCTTTCTTTTATTTCCATCACTTCATCTATATTTTCCTCACATTATCACACCACTTTTCTTTCCCCTTTTGACAGCATATAATAAACTTTTAATGGATTTTATTTGCTTTTTTATTAATCTGAGAAGCATCCTTTTACTAATTCAGATATTTGGACACTACAATAAGCGATCATTTGGAGAGGCTAACTCCTGTTTCAGTGGGATCAAAAATGAATATGTTGATTATGTGAATCATAAAATCATCAGAGTGCTGTGGCTGCCCATCCTTTACTTAAAACGCCTCCAGTGATGGAGCAACATTTCTCTAGAAGGCAGCTGTTTCATTATTAAATTGCTCATTATTATTGCAAAAGCTTTGGGGATTGTTGGGGATTGTTTAAGTTCCTATGCAAATTCCTAGTCAACAACAAATGTTCACTAGAGCTTAATATCTCAACATCTTGGATTGACATTCCATTCCAATTATCTATAGAGCAGAGTTGAACAAAGAGAAGTTTGTAACCCTAACAGTATTTGGACTTCTTTGGAAATGCAAGTAGTTTTCACTTACTAATGGCTGCATTCAGTGATAATTTGAAGTTATGACTGCTGCAAAAATAACTTAACAACAAATAACTATATTTTCAACAGCATCCTTCAGTCACATGGTCACCATTAAAGTCAGTATATGTCCTATGCCTGACATGTTATTCCCCCACCTCACAACCTTGCAAAGAGATTGAAAAGGAAGGAATTGAAAGAGAGTAAGAAAGCACACAAAGGAGAAGGAGCAGAGAAAAAAACCCCAACTGATTTCTGTGGGCAATCTTAGCTATGCCTGACACATTCACAATGGGGAATATATCAGGCTGCTTGCATAGTGTGCTCATGATTGCTGGTGCCAGCACATTGCTTTCAATATGCATTATTTATTATGTACTGGTTTATTCTCTTGTAATTCCTTCCTCTCCACTGAATGTAAGCACACAATGTAAAGATTCTTTTTTTTGTTAATTATCCTAACAGTAATTAGCAATTTAATAAGCATTTCAAAAGGCAAGCAAACGGGAAAGCACAGTTGCAGTCAAGTGATTTCCTACTTAGTGACAGAATTTAGTGACAGAGCTGCTGCTCCCAATTTTGCTGAACAAAAACTATTTTTGTTTTCCTTAAAAATATGTTATCCATGGGCAAAAGTATAACATCTAGCAATGAGACTAAAAGGGCATAAGCAATAATTGTCCAATGAAAGCAGTCTGGATTGGCAATTTGTTCTGTTCAGACAGATACTGCTTTAAACATACCGGTAGTATAAATTGTGCATGTTAATTATTTTACTTGTTGTTAACTCAAGCAATTTATCTTTTTTTTTTTTCAGTTTTCCACCTATCTCATAAAGTTACCACTGTGGTTCCAGAAAGTGTTCTCCTCATTGTTCTTGGCATTTTTCTGGGTGGAATTGTATATGCAGCCGACCATATTGCCTCCTTCACCCTTACACCAACAGTCTTTTTCTTCTACTTATTGCCACCCATTGTGTTAGATGCAGGATACTTCATGCCAAACCGACTATTCTTTGGCAACTTAGGGACAATTCTTCTATATGCTGTCATTGGGACTATCTGGAATGCTGCTACCACAGGCTTCTCCCTTTATGGAGTCTATCTTAGTGGAATAATGGGTAAGACTGAATTTTCAGACACACTATTATTTCATTATTAGCAATCCAAAATAATGTGTACCTTTCAATAAACTATAGAGAATGCTCTACACAAAGGAATGCTAGTTTGTATTTGAATTATAAATGATTAAACATGATGTAAATACCACAAATGATACTTTTTAAAGCATGAAGCATTTATGGCACCAACTATAAATGGGCACACGTTACTATTTTCAAATATTTCTTGGTAACTATAATTGATTAAAATAAAATATACAGACATGTGGAGTCCTTAGTGCTCTCTGAGTTGGTGGTTTTCTTGCAGCTGTTTCATTATCAAACTAGGTGACATCATCCAGTGCTAAAAGGGATGTATATTTTATATATTACTGTCTTGCCTTTTCAATTTTGGTGGGAGTGGCCTTGATGTTTCCTTGATTAGGCTTTGCTATTGTTAATTTTGTGTGCATTGGTAGTTCCTTAGTTGGGATATTATTTATTTCTTGATTGTGGTCTAATGTTAATCTTGGTATTAATTTTGGTCTCTACTCATCTGGATATTGATTTGTGGTGAGGAGCTATTTTGGTCTTTTTGTTCCTTTTTTGGCTTGTTGATTGTCTCTTATGAATGGTATGTTTATGTCTATCTGACAGATCGGCCATCCATAGCCACATAGATATAAGAAATGATTCAGCCATGTATACATGTTATTGATAACTATTACAAGTTATCAAAACCTGATTTTCTTCCATTTGACCTTTCATTATATTTTTTGCTTAATGGCTGGAATTAATTGTCTTATTGTCAACTGTCCAACTAGCAAACTCAAAATCAAGGAAACTTCAAGGCTTTGATGTACCATAAAAGATAAAACTTTATAGAACACATATCTTGGAATTGGAGAAGCAAAGTCAGCACTGGTTTTCTCAGGCAATTTTTTGCCTAATTAATAATAGCTTCCCTTAACCCCCACCCACCAGGTGTTCACATTGCCCAATCATATATTTTGATTTGTTATGGAAACAGTCCACTTCTCTATCAGACACCTGCATTAGTGATCTTAGCATTCTTGTAGGCTCTCACGGTCATTGGATGGCTTCTTAGAATCCTGTTTTCTCCCTATGCTTTCTACCCCTCCCTCCTGTTTCTATGGCAAGTTGAGTAAGGATAGAAATTAGCAAGCATCTTAGCAATTCAACCTTGACATGCCAGTCCCCTGAAAGAAGGGTAAACATAGGAAAAGAATAATCACAATTAAACAACATAAACACAATAAAACTAACATTCAAATATTATCCTCTTGGACATTGAGGGTATTTAGCATGCAACTTTCTTATTAATCTGTCAGCCTTAACATTATGAGCTCCTACCTATTCAGCACCAGCTAAGGAGTAACCTCTCCACCAAGTTAAGTACTGTAACTTCCCTCTGAAAATCCTTGAGTCCAGTATTTTCTTAACCTCATAATGCTTCTCACCCTCCACCAATATAGGAGAGGAGGTTGTCTCCAACTGGTCTTAAGCTAGATCCCTTAAATGGTTTCAACAAACTGCAGTAGAACACTGGGTGGACTCACTTCAACTCTTTTGGCAACTGTAGTTCAACATTTACTGGATTAATGACTTTCACAATTAAGAAGGGTCCTATGCACTTAGGATTCAGTTTTTTTATAAGGTTGCCTCAGTTTGAGTTACTTGGTAGATAGGTACACCTGGTCCCCAATCCTATAATTATCTTGGGGAGCTCTCTTCCAATCAGCTTGCCTCTTATGCAATTCCCTCGCCTTATCCATTATCTTCTGTATCTTCTGTGGGGTGATGCAGACCCTATCTAGTGATTGGAGGAGGGGTTCTCCCCTCTACATGTTGGTAGGCACTTCTCTCAGGCTTTGGCAGGGACGGCTCTCAGGCACTCCAGCAGGTTCCACTGTAATAGCCAGTTGGTATCACACTTGGAAATGGTCAGGAATTCCCCAGGTGTAAGGACCCACCCCACTTTGCATCTTAAGAAGACAGAACTCTTGGAATAATTCTTCCAACAGGAATCCTTTATTAAGAGAAAATGGTTGTAGGCATGCTAGACAGGACTTGGGGTCCAAGCTCTCCCATTCAAGGTTTTAAGGGGTTCCCCAGTAGTCCCACCCAATCAACCCCCCTTCCAGTGATAGTTTCCAGTATCACAATTCCACTCCCTTTCTTCTTTCTTCCGTCTGGATGGAGACTTCAGATAACTACATGAAAGGCAACTTCCCTCCTTTGGTATGTTAACACTTCGAGGTTACAATAAACACACATTCAGCATTCAGCTCTTTGAAGTGTAAAGAAGGAAGTGAGGGCCATAAAGCCCCTTTGTTCTCCCCCTTCTCTCCCTCTTATGGCAGAATCCAGAGAAGGCAGAATTGGGAGTTTCTATATTTGATAATTTAAAGATGAAATATAATTGGATTCTGACATCCGGCCCCTCTTAACAATAAGAGAGATCCACCTGAAGAAAACACAAGTATAAAATTTAGTCAGGCTTGTTAGGATACTCTGTGTGAAACTTCTTCAATAGCTTCGGGGCTCTGACATGACGTTTATGGACCCACTCATTTTGTGAGGGAGGGCGGTGTTTCCAGGCAACTAGGTACTGAGTTGCTCCATGATATCTCCTAGAGTCAAGGACTTCCTTTATTTCGAAGTGTTGTTCACCCTCCACCATGATTGGAGGTGGTGGGGGGGGGATTTTTGGCCGTAGAGGTGACTGATGCTCTCTTTTCAGCAAGCTGCAATGAAAAATTGGGTGTATTTGCCTGAGATTTTTGGGTAATTCTAATTCTACTGTTACTGGATTTATGATTCTTTTAATTGGAAAAGGTCCTATGTATTTTGGTCCAAGTTTTTTACAGGGCTGTAGGGACTTTAGGTATTTTGTAGATAAGTACACCATCTCTCCTATAATGAATGGTGTAGGCTCAACCCTTTTTTTATCGGCTTGTGTTTTGTAAGCCTGCCTAGCTTCATCTAGTGCTTTTCTGACTATTGGCCAGGTGTTTTGTAATTTTTCCATCCATTCTTTCAGCGAGGGGATCGTTGGTTCGTTTGGGGTTAATTCTGGCATGGGGTTGAAACTTTGACCGGTGGCTATTTGAAAAGGAGTGTAACCTGTGCTGGAGTGGACTGCATTATTGTAGGCAACTTCTGCAAAGGGGAGTAAGTCCGCCCACTCGGTCTGCTGGAAACTAAGAAAACATCTTAAATATTGCTTAAGTACTGAGTTCATTTTTTCAGCCCCCCCATTTCCTGGAGGGTGGTGGCTAGATGTCAGTCCCTGAGTGGTTCCTAAGAGGGATAAAAATTCCTTCCAAAATGCAGATGTAAATTGCACCCCCCTGTCAGAGATGATGCGTTGGGGTGCCCCATGCAATCTGTAAATGTGTTGGATGAAAAGGTTTGCTAAGGCTTTTGCAGTGGGAATCTTTTGGCAAGGGATAAAGTGCACCTGTTTGGAAAACAAGTCCGTGACCGTCCAGACCACAGTATTTCCATTGCTTTCTGGCAATTCCACTATAAAATCCATGGCTATTTCTCTCCAGGGGGCTGAGGGACTTGCCACTGTTTGCAATAGTCCTGGCACTTTCCCTTGCAACCTCTTTGCCGTGGCACATTTTGGACAACTGGCTATATAACTTTCAATGTCCTTTTTCATGGATGGCCACCAAAATTGCCGTTTAATTAAATGTAAAGTTTTTTCAAATCCAAAATGCCCTGCTGATTTTGTGTCATGGCAAAGGTGCATGAAAGTTACTCTTTGAGTTGTTGGTATATATAACTTTTCCCCTATCCAAGGCAACCCGTCTTTCATTGTGCACACATTTTTGTTTTTCTGGAAACAATCATCTGTTTCCAAACTTTTTCTGAATTCAATTCCAGTTTGGCTGTCCAGTTGTGGTTTTAATTTGGCTTGGGTTCTTGTGGTTACTGGTGCTGCCAATTGTGACTCTGCCATTATTGGTCTAGAGTCTGTGGTTCGTGTGCTGTTATATTGGGGCATGCGAGATAGTGCATCTGCCAGGAAGTTCTTTCTTCCTGGTAAATGTTTGAGCTTAAATTGGAATTGGTGAAAATGCTGGGACCAGCGGGCTGGTTTGGGATTGAGTTTCCTGGAAGTTTTCAGGGCTTCCAAATTTTTGTGATCAGTCCACACCTGGAAGGGGATTTTGTTGCCTTCCAGGAACTGTCGCCATGTGAGTAATGCCCAACGTATCCCATAAGCCTCCTTCTCACATACGGGCCAGCGCTGTTCTGTTTCCGTGAGTTTCTTGGATGTATATGCACAGGGTTGCAATACTGCATCATCATTTTCTTGTAATAGCACAGCCCCCACTGCCAAATCACTTGCATCTGCCTGTATTATGAAGGGTTTGTCCATGTCTGGGTGCCTTAGTACTGGTTCGGCAGAAAAAAGTCTCTTTAGTCTCTCAAACGCTGCTTGGCACTCCATTGTCCATGTTAGTGGCTTGCTAGGTTTTACTGAGGATGTTCCCTTCGTTTTTAGTAAGTTGGTGAGGGGCAAGGCTATCTGTGCAAATGAGGGGATGAATTGGCGGTAAAAATTTGCAAAGCCCAGGAAACTTTGTAGTTGCTTTCTTGTGCGGGGTGGTGCCCATTCTAATACTGCTCTGACCTTCTCTGGGTCCATTTCAATGCCCTGTGGGGATATGCGATAGCCTAGGTAGTCTATCCTTTCCTGGTGGAATTCGCATTTTGAGAGTTTGGCATATAGGTGAGCGGCTCGCAGCTTCTTTAAAACCGCTCTGACAAGTTTGACGTGTTCTTCTTTTGTTTCGGTAAAGATAAGAATGTCGTCCAAGTAAACAAGGACCCCCTTAAACAGGTGCTCCCTTAGAACGTCATTGATTAATTGCATAAAGACTGCAGGGCCCCCTTGTAATCCAAATGGCAAGACTTTGAATTGATAGCACCCCATGGGGCAGTTAAATGCAGTCTTCCATTCGTCCCCTTCCTTGATTCTCACT